GAAGATCATTTTTCTGATACCCTCGATTATTTACTTCCAACATTTGAATCATACAAGCTTCGGTCAATGAAAAATGCTGTCGAAGAAGCTTGCAAGAAATCAAATGGACGTAAAATTACTGCTAGTGGCGATGGTACTTGGCAAAAGCGTGGCTTTTCAAGTTTACATGGAGTCGTAGAAGTTTTGTCTAATGGACCTACTGCAAAAGTACACATTTGATAAAAATATATCGTATACGTTGTCATTTGAATTTTTTAGGTTTTAGATTTGGGACGATTATCAAAGAAATGTTCGATTTGTACAGGTCTACTGAGCATTAAATATTCAGATCCAAAACAATATTCAGAAATTAAAAATAAACATCAATGTGAAGTAAATCACGTCGGCTCATCCGGTACAGGTTCATTTTATTTTTTCTAAAATACCAATTTGTTTTCTTTTAGCATCCATGGAAGTTGCTGGAATTCATCGTTTATTTGCACGTTCTAAAATGCTGTGCAACGTAAAATATGCACAGTAAATAACGTTGTATTCATTTTTGTTTTGCACATTCTTTAGTTTTAGTTATATCGGAGATGGAGACGCAAAAGTCTTTCCTAAGCTAATTAGTGATCCTCCATACGAAGATGTATCGATTACAAAGATAGAAGACGTGAATCATTTTTCAAAAAAGATGCTACATCGTCTTCAGAAGATTGCAGAATCTCTGAAAAAAAACAATATTGATGGTAAACTTGGTATACGTGGTTCGGGTCGAATGATTAAAAGTTAGTGATAACTCTGCTAATAATCTAACTAATTCCTAAGTTTTATTCTAGAAATGATGATTAACTTTAAACATTATTATCGCCTAGCTATTGTAAGAAACAAAACAAATCTCGATGATATGGTGCGTGCAGTTTGGGCCATTTGGAAACATAAAGTAAGCGAACTTACGAATAATCCTATGAGGAAAACCACAATTTATTGTAGCCTTCTTCGAACTCAGAGCCACATCATGAATGGTGTTCACCAAGTTATTGTGGGTATTTACAAGCATTAGAGAAAGGTAACAAAGAGATCGATGATTTTTTACGATTTCATTTCACGATCTCATTCTATATCATTAGGTGAAGAGTATGATCATACGCCACATAGTTTGCCGTTAAAAATAATGAAAGCAATTCGATCGGCTTTTGAAGAATTAGCTCATCGTGAGTACACCGAAACATTAAAAATAGGTTTCAAATCCTTTTTATTTAGCTGATACTTTGAAGAGAGTTCGCAATGGTGGTTCTCAAAACGCGAATGAAAGTTTTCATTCGATTTTATGGAGTTTAGCACCCAAGAACCGTTACAGTACAGGTGTTATGATTGATCTATGTGTCGCAATGGCTGTTTCATTTTATAATGATGGCTATCAGTCAATAATACCGGTTCTAGCAGAATTAACAGGTAAAGAGTGATCATAATTTCCTATAAAATAGAATGTAGCCTTTTGTTTTAGGAAACACTGGATTTTTCACAAGAGTGGGCATGAAGAGACTCGATGAACGTCGCATATATTATGAGCATAAAAGAAAAAGGAAAGCTGTACAAAAATCCAAACAAAATGAAGAAGCATCTGATTCGCTAAGTGATCGAATGAGTGTTGATGATAATAGAGATGATCAATTAGATGACTCATATATTCCTGGTGCATATTGATATTTTTCTATGGAACAGTTGTTTTTATATATTTTTTTATTTGTTTTGATTCATGAATCATTATATTTCATTTTGTTCAGATATTTTCTATGATTAGAAAAAGAATAAAATATCTTTTCTAAATAATTTATTTATTTTTCTTAATACGATTTGTAGATAAAATGAATAATTTTAACATTTGTTACAATGCATTATGTCGTGCATTTGATAAAGAAAATGCGATAATACCACCTACTCTAGTCGAAATTCTGAAGCCTCAAAATCCCGTGGATTCATCTATCATTCATACGAATACAAATGATGACGAAGCTGAATGTCGTACTACAACAAATAGCGAAGATTTTAGTGACGATGAATCCGACGGTTCAGACAACATCGATTCGAAAAATATAAATCAGATAAACCTCAAGAGCCGTACAAATGACAAATCTGCAGAGTATGTAGTTCGTATTTGGCAATGTTCCTATGAAAATTCTAAAGCCTAGAAGAGTGGATATTAATTGAATTTTTCTGACTTTCTTGAAATAATAAATGTTTTTTGAATAAGAACATTTTTTTTAGTACACCAAAATCTCTATCAAGATCATTCTCAACATTAGCAATAACAACAAACGCAAATTCACTCAATTTACCGTTATCATCAATAAAGCTAACAATCAAACCAAATCCACTCGGCTTACCTCATGATCAAAAACAGCGACAAGAAATTGATTACAAGCTAAATCAACTCATCTTCGGTATTCGACAACAAAAATTAAAAACAAAAAAGAAAGAAATCTACGAGCTACCCCCATTAAACGATTGATCTATTGATTTCATCTACCACGAAGTAACAATAACAGTTTTTTTTCATCGTTATTGTACGAAGGTCACCTAGAACATGATGAAAACATAAAGATCGACGTTGATGTGTCTTTGTATCTGTCCATTGAGAGATTTAAAGATTCTCGAGTTATAGATGAGATATCGAAAAAAGTAAAAGATATTTTGGAAAAACAAGGACGAACAACACGAACCAGTTCGATCATCAAAGCTAGTAAAAACATTGACTCACTTCTCCTATCAAAACGAAAAGGAACCGTACTAACATTTTTATCGGTTTATCTATCTGTGAATGTTGCTGAGTCACTTAATGATACGGTTGTACCTACTGTTTCTTCTGATGAGAATGCATTAGAAACAAGTGTTGGTGACGATGATGACAGTATTAATAGTGACTCAAGTAGGCCATTTTCACCATCTACTTCGCATGATTCGCTTAGTTCAGATATTTCGTTTTATATGTGTAACGATATAATGAAGACAAATGCCTAATTTAAATATCTTCTCGATTATTTTAAACACTCCCTATCAATGAATAATAAACCAATTAATCTCGAGAAGATTGCTACTGACGTTTGCGCATATGTTTTCCTTGAACTCATATTTTCTATAAACATACGTATATTAAAAATAGACATAAGTTTACAGTTAACTCATTTAGTCCAATCAGCGCGTACATGTGCTACTGTTGCTGGTGAAGGTGTTATTGAAGTTCTAGTTACGACAAACAATTTTTCACTAGTGTTCAAGTCTATCAGTTCTTTAGCTCATTTTCAACTATCAATGAAGTATTAGTGAAAAAACCTTCATCTTCGTTTGATCTCGTGAAAACATTAGATGTCAGTGAAATTTCAAATATCATTAGTTAATGCGCCTTCATTTTCGATATAAATTTTGATCTACCGATTCTTGACGGCATGCTTACAAAAAAAAATCTTGTTTAATCGTACAAAATGTAGTTCCAGTTGTTTCTTAGCTATTATTCTGATATTTACACGATAAAATGGTAATGGTAATTCTGTTCAACCAACTCCCGTAAAGATTCTCATCCTTAAGTGCAGGAAAAATGGATGCTATTATTGGTTGCACTTAGCACGCATGGTGTTAGAAGTTCCTATGAAAGAGATCCTACGTCCCTAATCAACTCTCCCCCGAGAACACCGCGGTGTTTTTTCTGGCAAGAATTGATGAAATTTTTTTAAAAGAAGAATTTATTAGAAATTAGATATTTCATCAACTTTAGCCAGATGACCCCGGGGAATCCTCAGGTAGTCCCCGCAAAAGAACGAAATCCCTAGGGACTCCTTGTCGTGAGTCCCGGGGATTTCTCAGGGAACTCCCTGGGGATTCTTCTAGGGAGACTTGACTAAGGCTCAGTTCAACCTTATTAAAATATGTATAGATACAATCAAATGATAAAAGACCTAAGCGATTTATTGCGTCTGCAAGATACCTATACTCTTATGCATTGCGCTATCACTGCTAATCTTCAGTTCATTTCATTCGGAGTAAGCCAAAACGCTGTGCGTTAAAGCAGATAAAACGACATACTTAAGAAAAAATGCAGAATTACCTCTTTCATTTACGACAACAATTGCAACTGCTAAGTTCGAGTACGCTCCACATACAGCTATCTTGAGGGTGTGCCGCTGTGTGGATATCGTTGCGGGCAGATGCATTCTAAACACCAATACTCACTATCTCATAACAACACCCACAATCATGCAACCAACCGACCTCCGACACCGATTACCTTCAGTCAAACTTTATAAAAAATTATTTTTTTCCTAAAAAACTAATTCAGGGTCCTAAAAATTTCCAAACTCAAAATTCTGAGAAACTGATCTTGGATTCGGATTCCCCGACCCCAATTACCTGTGGTGGATCTTTTTCGGAGAGCCGGCGCTGAAATTTTCATTGGTTTAGTGGATACTGAAATCTGATTGGTTTGTCAAACAAACATACATACAAACATTAAAGATATTTAAGCTGCGTATAACCCTTTCTTTCAGAAAAGGGAATTAATATTTAATAAAACTTGTATGATTCACTTCTTGAAATAAAAACTGCATAACCTACACATCTTAAATCCAGTCAGAAACATTCGATCGTACCAATATCTCAGACTACATACTAACATGTCATAGTATATGATACCATAGTTTGCAAGGATACATGAATTTCGCTGTACCCCATGAATATTTAGAAAACGTATGCGATTCTTCAACAGATAGACTTTTGAAACCTTCGGCCAATCCTTATAAAAAAACTATTTTTTTTGTAAAAAAAGTCTCTCACTCCCCTCAAAAAAAGGATTAGCAAAATTTCAAAAAACTAACAACGCTGTCGTGTTCAGCGACCCCGATTAGCTTCGGCCAACCCTATCCCTGCAGGATATTGTTTGTGGTTAGTGAAGTTTATGCATCTGCTTTTCTATTGGACAAACGAACGAGCGAACTTGCGAACAGACGAACGAACGCATTTAACTCGTTTTCGTAATACAATCCTTTCAGTAGAGGGAATAGCTCTTGAGCCCAAATGTTCTGAACAATGCACTGACTAATATGGTTTATGCATATGAGTCTTTTCACAAAACCGTATTATATTTTATAAACATTCCTATTGTACTACGCCAACTATAAGATCTATATTTCAGAAGGATTATCCAAGTGATAAAAATATTTCGACAACTCTTGGCAGACGTTTTGAATAAGAAATGAACTATATCGCTAAAATAATGACAAAATATATGACTGAGTAAGTGTAGTTATTTATTTCCACTATGGTCGACTTTGTTGCTAATATATGTGAAGCTTTGAGATTATTGATTTGATGTTTGTATAGATCATCACATTTCAATCAAACGAGAGTTGCTCATCACTGTACGTCTTTTATGTGATTGGATAAAGCTGATGAAATAGCTTTTTTAACGCTCAAATATTAAAAGATTATTGTTGCAAAGTTTCCATTCGAAACTACACTCTCGTATGCTACTTCTTGAAGCAATTATACGAAATTTGATACAAACGCTTGAACCGACTTCATTACAAAGGATATAAAAGAAAAAGTCGAGAATCTTATGAAGCATACAACTAAACATGAACGTAATTGAGTTTTATTTGAATGGGTAACTAGACAAGTAACGTGAATCGATTTTCGATTCACTGAGCCCTAGACTGATAGAATTCATAAATACAAATACATGAACAGTCCACTTCGTCAGTTGTTTACTCCAACGATCCTGAAATTTCCAAAAAAGCTGGCTGAATAAATTCAACCGAGACATGGAAGCCGGAGGGCAAATAAGTGAAAGTGGGGTACCGGTGAGCAGAAAATGAGAAATTTCCAAGAACTATGAATAAGAACGCAGCGAAAATGAGGGGAAAAGACAGGTACGAAGCAGTGCCTGAACTCCGATTTTGTTTCTGATGGGAGGGGGGGGGTAGAAGCTCACAGCCACCTAGCTAATACGACACACTGTTGATAATTCCCGCGAGGGGGCTTAAATATCTTTAAGAAGCGGGGAGGGTTGACTTTCACCTAGCCACTGAGTCACAGTGTTTAAAAATATAACAAAGGACGGACCAAAGTTCCTTATGGGAATTTGGGCTGCCGTTCACTTGATCCGTCATTAGAACTGACTCCTCTGCGTGCCCTCTCCGTGGATCCGCCAGTAAAATGTGTCATAAGATTGGTCATTAGTGTCACAGAAGTGGTCATTTTTGCCATAGAAATGGTCATTTGTGCCACAGAAATGATCATTTGTGCCAGTGTTACAGACAGACACGCACACGGGCACACAGACACAGGTGAATTACGGTTTCCAGACCCTATCCTTTCAGTCTAGGGAATAGCAAAAAGTGATATAATACTTCGGCAACGAGTATGCGGAAACGGTTCCTCATACTTCTTTTCTGTAAAATATTTCCACATAAGCTCTCGATGGTATTCAGCTGTAAAATTTAAGAACAAAGTATTTAGCAGGTATAAAGTAAAGTTTTGGTGGCAGATGGTAAATTTGTTCCTAAGATGTTTTACTCATGAAATATTTTACAATGAACAGAATACTCTTACCTTGTTTATGATACGAACGGATACTAAAATACCTAGCACAGCTCATTATTCATACATTGTTAGAAAAAACTGTTATATTTTTCTCCAAAGTGTATAATCGATAATCGTTTCCGAACATATAAGAGTACAAATGATTTAATTAGAGGACATAATCACTAAGCTTCAATTACTCTGCCTACCAGAGTTCAACTAACTAACAGTACAAACCTGTTTAAGAACTAGTATAAATAATCATAGTAATAAGTGCTTTGGAATATCTCTTGTGATTTCTCGTAATCGATAAAACGTGACCTATAAAAAGCATCGAATATATGATCGATTTTCATATATCGAATGATTTCAACAGTATTTCTCGATTGAAAAGAGTAGTCGGAAGTGAATTTGAACCAATAACTTACGCTGTGGCCACGGAAAATATTCGAGATAGGCAATCAAAAAATATACTAAAATCTCAGACTACTAATTCATTCTTTATAGGCACATTTACGACCATTCTATAACAGCAAGTGTTGAACACTAGGAGACAACAATATTCGGGGACACATAACATATGCTCCCAAATTCTTTACTGTTTGCACACCATTGCAATGTCGCTGATGAAATAGAAACACCAACATAATCGTCGAACAGCTATCATTTGACAGAACTAAAAGGTAACTCATGCCTAACTCTCCACCAAGCAATTAGTAATATATTATTCCAGTAAACTCCAATCGAGAATAACATAACTCCTTGAATCCATTCGCTTGGAGACTTTACTAAAATTCTAATTGATCGTATCATATAATATCATATCATATACAAGTGACGAGTGTAGCATGTGTATCCATCCTACTCAGCTTCAAGGCAAATAGTAATCAATGACTCGAACAATTATCACATTATGCCATACACCCACTAAAAAACATCCAGAAATCTCTAAAACTAAATATGCGATTGCTCCAGCCTCTAGCTCGTCAGACGTTGTCACAATATTCCAATCACTGATTGCCATACTTCCTTTTAACCGTATGCTTCTATTTACTTGCTTTCTTTGTTCCAGTCGGATTTTGAACAATTCAGAAGCATAATACATGACTCCAAGCAATGATACCTAATTTCTTGATTATTATAATCTGGAAGTCGTCGGAGATTGTCACGACGACCAGCTCAACGACACTGGTGATTGTCACAGTGTCGTAATCGCTGATTGTACGATTCGCCCTATCGGTCATGTGATTTCTTTGTAATGATGACTTGATTCTAGATAAATTACAATATATGAGAAAAGGCACAGAACAACTAATGACAGAAGATTTACCTGGATAGTACATAGTTTCATCGTGAAGCCGTCGCAGATTGTCACGACGACTGACTAAACGACACCGGTGATTGTCACAGTGTCGTAATTGCTGATTGTGCAATTCTTTCTTTGAGTT